TCCTCAGTTCAGGGACTACCAGTGTGAGCCATCCACACCCCTCTAAGAATAAAGATATTTTTCTGATTCCAGTTCTGTGCTTCTGAACTTTTTCCCTTCATCCCTCCCTGCCTCTTACAATTCTCCTCCAATGATGGATTGGTCTTTGAACCTTGCTTTCCAGGTCACTCTGGATGCCATACGGAACCTCCTTCCCAACACAAATATGAAATAACCTCTTCCGAGCGGACTCTGCAAGACCAAGGCTACTCAGGCAATCGTTAGGCTCTCAGAGAAAGAGTCGTATGAAGTTTTATGGTCACGTAACAGAAGGGAGTCACTGAGGTGTTGACCAATAACTCAGTGTGACCCTCAGATAGTCAGAGCCTAGAAGCTTCTCCAGTCACGTCACATGTCCTCTTACAGCATTTGTGGCCTGGGGGTTGGTGGAAGCTAGAGAGAGGTCTGGGAAGCTTAGGGAATCATTCCAAGAATTTACCTGCTGGTCAAGATGTTAGGTAAGAGATAGAGGCTGAGAGTGAAGGGCTGTTTAGAAAGGACTAAAGATGGCCCCGGGTCATCTTGGGCCTGCTCTGGGTCTGCACTGTTTATCTTGCTCCAGTGTCCTCACCAGCCGTAGCCTGTGTGCAGGAACTTCACAGAGGACGGACCTTCATCGGGTGGGGGGGACTTCCGTTTACATTTCAGAAAGTGCAGCTGCTGACTGTGGGTGGAGCACAGGCCCAGAGTGCTTACCCAGGACGGGAACGGCAAAACTGGTGGGATTCCCAGCCCAGGGGAAAAAAACAAAAAAACAACAGTGGAAGTGGGAGAAGAATGGTAGGTTGGGACAAAATGCTAATAATACTTCCTGCAAATTCGAACTCCAAAGTTCGATTACTCTTTGTTAAATTTAAAGAGCTGGGGCATTGAGAACCTCTTCATAAACAAAGCAATCCCCCAGATACACAATGTCATCTTCAATTTTGCACATGGAGAAAACTGGCTTATTAATTAAGCCAGAATATATGTTAGAACAACTGTGGTTCCTATCTTATTTCTAAAGTTCCTGCTATTATTATTCTCTCTCCCATCCCCATCACTCCCACCTCCCCAGGAGACAAGATCTCAATATGTATCCCAGATCAGCCTCCTGAATGCTAGGATTGAATGCTAGGATTACAGGCATGTGCCACTACGCCTGGGTACTATTTTCCTTTACACACACAACCAATGTTTGTTTGTTTCAGATAGGATCTCACACGGCCCAGGCTGACCTCAAACTCTTGATCATCCTGACTCCACCTTCCCAAGTGCTGGGATTACAGGAGTGAACCCCCATGCTCTGAGAAAACCATATATTTTTAAGTATTTTGTCCTGGAAACCTCCTGTAAACATCTGTCAATCAAACATAATTGTCAGAACAGCTTCAAAATACCAGTCTTCCTGTCCTAGGATGTGATACTGTCTGGCTAAAACTGTGGCTGATAAACCTGCTGGGGCAATAGAAGTGCTGGGAATCAGGCTTTTCAAAGCTTTAGTGACACTTTGTATCTCTGTCAGATCACCTCTTTTTGTGTTAGTTTGCTTGTTTAGAGACAGGAACTCATGTAGCCTAGGCTAGCCTTAAACTCATTATATAGTCAAGGATGTCCTTGAACTCCTGATCCTTTCCTTTTAACCTACCAAGTCCTGGGACTTCAGGAGTGCATTAGCATGCCAGACTACCTTAAGCAAAATTTTAAGAAATTAATAAGAGCCAAGTCAGGGATCTAGTCTCAAAATAACTAAATAAAGTAAATAATTAAGTAAGGGCCAGTGAGATGGCTTAGCAGGAGGAAACATCTACCCACTTGAGTTCAGTCCCCAGGAGCAAAGAACTGACTACTGCAAGTAGTCCTCTGTTGGCACAAGTGCACTATGGCGCTCTCTCTCTCTCTCTCTCTCTCTCTCTCTCTCTCTCTCTCTCTCTCTCTCTCTCT